TTGAGTTGTTTCCATAAAAGAGCTTGATGGAGTTTTTAACGATATCTTTACGTAAATTCGCTCTAGTCATGCGTTATTTTGAACAGGATCTGACTGTGCTTGGACGACTTGTACCTTTTTCATTTCTGCCACATCTGTTTGGAGATTCTTGACAATGTTCAGAATTTCAGCGCTTGGTTGTTGGGAATCCTCATTGTTTGCTTGGTTCTGGTTATTTTCCTGACTCCCATTTCCTTGAGTTGGTTTTCGGCACAGACTCGTATGATGTTTACCGCCACAGTTTTGGCAACGTTTGAAATTTCGACAATCTTCAACTCCATGTTGAGGACGCAAGCAATTCAGACAGAGGCTGTAAGCTTTAGCATTCTTCTCCAGTTGCTCTACATTTTGATGACACTGGTTTGGGTAGTGTTCTTGTCTGCAAAATGGGCATTTCTTTGTGAAAGTTACTTGTTGAAATTGGTTTTGCCTGTAGTTCGGCGCTGTCCACTGACAGCTGTTATGGTTCTGTCCATTCACTAACATTAAAGACTTGACAGGAACTAACAAAACGTATAAGACTAACATACATAACATGACGGGTCTTAAAGGACAAAGTAAAGAAAGAACGAACTGGAAAAATTGAAGTCCAAGTCACAGTTGAACCATTTTTTCACAAATTTGCGCTGCAGTTTCTGTTTTCACTATTTTTGGAACTAGAGGGGCGGACGATGGCTTCACTGGAGCACTTGGAGTTGTTTTGACAGTTTTGTTGGCTGCTGCAGTTTTGGGTTCTGCTGATGTTTTATATATCCCAATATTTGATTGAGGAGTGTCTTCATTGACAGACGCGTTGTTATTAAGTTTCTTCCAATACCATCTGTACATTTGCTCGGGATTTTGTTTCCACATGAGTTTGTTTTTCTTCTTGATTGATGTTTTCAAGATTTCATATAGTTTTCCCCTTTTTAAATTATTTTTGACAAGGGTCCAAATACAATTGTGAATTGAGTGTATGTTTTCTTTCATATTGGTCAGTTTGGCAATTAAGTCAATGACATCATTCATGTATACTGCACCCCAGGAATAGGAGCCATCTGGGTTTGGCAGATTTTCCAACTGCAAGTAAAATCTTTGGACTACCTGTTCAACTTTTCCAAAGGCATAGAACGTTTTCCTCGCCAGATCCAAATAATTGGACAGCTCAGTTTTCCTGTCCAGCCCCCTCAGCATTTGCAATGCGTCTTCATCAAAAACGTAATCCATCTCAAATTAAGAAACAAGTCCTCAGTCGAGTATCTAGCCACGGAATACCTAACCAAACATCATACTGGTTTGAACCAGTTTCAGAACTAGGTTTAGGACAAGTCCAAACTTAAATGGAAACATCTTCATTTCAATTCTCAGATAGTCTTGTATGTATTGTACAGGAGTTTTTCCCTAATTTTAACTGACAGGAAATGGCATGCAGAATTAAAGACGAAGATGTCGTTTAGGAAGAAGTCACAGACTCAGACTTAGAAACAGGAGTAGTAGTTTCGAAAGTGAGTCACTTTGCCTAAATCCTCGGTTAACCATTACTGCTGGGGGTTTCGGAAAATTGATATCGAGAATAGTTTTTTGTGCTGGCCTGAGAGTATTCCACTCTTTTGACAAAGACTGCGGTGTATGCGAAGCAAGGTTGGTTATTTCCTTTTTCAAAGCCATGATTTCATTCTTGTCTTCTTGATCAAGAAAGTCAAGTTGCGTCATAGAGAGGAATGCGTAAGCTTCAGAAAAGTTTTCAATGATTTCTTCAAAGGTTTTTAGTTTAAGGTCTTGTTTGGGTTCCGCGTTTGCCCAATCTCCTTTACAAATTAGTTGTACAATTCGGAAGAGTTTTGATGTTGAATCACAAAAAGCATTGTTGGTTTTGTTTTCGGAAATGATTGCAGTTGATGATACCGGTGTATTTAAGGAAGAATCAGACGTGCATGTTGAAGTGGTTAAGGTAGCCAAACTTCTTCCTGGTGTCTCTTGTTTGGTAGGAGTTTCAACTTCTTCATGTATTTTGTTTTGACTTTGAGTTTCAATCTCAATGTTTTGATCAATAATGATCTTTTTGGGAGGCCTTCCCGGTTTCTTCTTCATTGCCTTTGGTGGCATTTTTTGGATGGTTTTTCTTTGTTTTGATTTGTCTTTGATTTTTTGAGGGTATTTTCCTCTTTTCCTTACATCACCTTTTGTAGTTCTCCTTTTGTTGATAGTTTTGGTTTTGATAGGGTTTTGGATTATCACCTGTGGGAGATGCCTAATTGAGGCTAAATCTTAGATCACTTGTGCACTTTTCAAAGACACCTTTCGCGTTAGAGCTTGGGTTTCAAAGATAGTTTTGGAAAAGAGAAAATAACGACAGACACAGCAAGATTTTTTGAAGTTGTTTTTTTTTTTTTTGAAGAGAGGCGGCGTAAAGAAACCACGCTCTGCTACCACTTTTGTGAGAAAAAGAGATGTCAAACAGGCAAACTCACAAAGTTGAAAAATGTGATATGGAAATGGATGTGAAAATAGAAAAGGAGTGATTGAATTAAAGATATGAATCGAAGTTCTTTTCGCAAGAGAGAAGTGTTAAATTTATGAATAAGGACTCAATGAATCAGTCGGGACAAAGTCCTAGTTTTAACGAGTTGTATTTTTCTTGACGACAAACACTTGGTCAGAATTTCGGAATTTGGCGTTTTTTGCGAGATGAAAAAGCTTCTCTGCTTGGAGATCTGCTCAGGTTCACAATTCGAATGCAAGTGATGAAAATCATGCTGAATTTGGAAAACAGGAAAGGAGTTGCTGAAGGATGCGGATTAAGAAATCTATTGAGAAGATGTCCTTGCTGGGCCTGGGAATTGAACTCGGGTTTGGTTCCCAGGCTCCAGCAGAAGCTGTTAGAAATTTTCAGAAAAGACAATCGTTTAAAATTAATCTGGCGCCGAATTGTCGGCATGCCGAAGTTTTTTCCAACATAAACCCCCCCTTTCCCTTATTGAAACATCTCAGAGAGGTCGTTTTGAGAAGTGAAAGCGGTAGAAAAAACGAGGATAAATGGGGTAGGATTTACGAGAGGCAGTTAGAACTGAGGCAATTTGCTGACATTGCAAAAAACATCACAAAGTGCACTAAAGGCTGCCGTTTCTCAAAGTTTCCAGAAGGTTCGAGGTTAATGGTCTTGTTTTGCTGGCTCTTGCTGTTGATTCTTGACTCATTGGTTTGACTCAGTCTGGGTGCCGATTTGTTGAGGGTTGAGTCAGAGGGAGCCACCGTATATAGTCCTTTGGCTGTGCTGTTTTTGCGTCAGTGTTCGACAAGTTTGCTGAGTGTCCGGTTCCGGTTGAGAGGGTTGAGTCAGAGGGAGCCACCGTATATAGTCCTTTGGCTGTGCTGTTTTTGCGTCAGTGTTCGACAAGTTTGCTGAGTGTCTGGTTCTGGTTGTCCTCCCCTTTTGAATTCTCTAGGTCGGAAGAGTGGTTTTAGTTGTCATTCCTCTTTTAGAATTTTCTCTCTGTCAGGGATGGCCAGTCCCATCTAGGTTGAAAATTTTCACAAGTGAATTGAGAAGCGTTTTGCTTACAAATTTGCGTGTTGTTTTGAGATCAAGTGAAGATGAATTTTAACTCTTGTTGTTGGCACAAATTGTTGGCATGCCAAAGTTTTTTCCAACAGACTCATTGGAGTCTACTGCTGGAAAATGAACTTCAAAATCGGAAGAAACCAGAGACAAATTTTGAATGCAGAAAATTCAGAAAATAAAAATCCCTTCTGCTTCTTTTTCATTCAACACCTGAGAACAAAACATCAGTTTTCCCCATGAAAATTCCGTTGAACAATTTTTTTTTTTTGCGGGCTTTTTGTTCTGCAGGGACTCACTACTGCTCTTTACTGCTGAAAATTTTGTCAAAAATTAAATAAGGCTGTGTTGAGGAAAAAGGGATTTTTGGGAATCAGCAAAACAGCTAATCTCCCCAAGAATCGCGTGGGACCAGAGTTGACCTTGAGTTCCCACAATCTTCCTTGAATGTGTGGTGCTTTGAGGACTTTTTTTTTGGGAAATCCTTGAAATTCAACATGAACATTTCTCGCTTCTTTCATTGAAATAGTTTTTGTGGTCATCTTTGACCAATACATGAATTCATTCAAGTTTCAAAGTACAAACTGAACAGACCTTGCAATAGCCCTTCAAACTGCAGCATTCTGCTTTACTTGGTTTTTGTCTTGAATCTTCTTGTTGTCCTAAAACTTCACTTCAGTACTTGTGTTTTCTACCAAAAAGGAAATACTGTATATCAACTTTAAACTGTTGGGCTTTTCAGCACAGGCCGCAGGCTGGCTGATCAAGTACAGTATTTTATTTCAAGTATAACAGTTTTTAATCACTCTTTCTTGTTGAGGATTCATTCACAAACAAAATTAAGCTCAAAATCGAATCATAATCGAAAGCATTCTTAATACTAAAATTCCAAAAATAAGCTCCTTTCCGCGTCTTTTTCATTCAGCACATGAATGAGACAAGACATCTTCCCCCCCCCCACGAAAAATGTTTTTTCTGCAAATTTTGGCGCAGGTGTTTGTTAATGCGGGACTCCTTTTGCTGTACTGGTGGGAAAATGAACTTGAAAATTGAATCACAGCAAAAAACATTTTTTTCAAGATAACACACCTTTTGCACCTTCTCATTAAACACGTGGACAAAAAAAATATATTCAGACGAATGGCGAAGAGCAGTCAAATTTCGTTATCCGGTAATCACCGTCAGGTACTGAAGGAAAAAAAAAGTTGAAAATTGCATCATGCTAAAAAAAACCTTTTATGCTGAATTAAAAAATAATAATAACACACCTCAAGCATCTTTTCATTCGACGTGCAAAGACAAAACATGAAAAAAATTATTTCACAAAAAAAGTGGCGAAGACCATCAAAATTTGCATTGCGCTAAAAATAAAAAAAAAGTTTGCAATATTCAGCGTTTCATTGCTGTGTGTTACTTTCCAACAGGACACAGAACTGTCCTGGAATACAAACAATCCTCAGTGGACCAGATGTTTGGAATGGACAGCCTTGACCACATTTCCCATCATTCTCTTCATTTCAAGTGCAATTTACCTCCGACTCAACAAACCCCCTCCTTGGGCAGGAAAAGCGCGAAAGCAAACCTACCTCTACTACTTCAAAATAGTAATTAATTGCTGAAACGATATTCTTTTTTTTTTTTCAAATAAATAACCATTTCGCATCGCTGATTTGTCTTCGCCAACAGATTTTCCTCTACTGTCTGACGATGGTCTCGGTTTTCGAGGCTTCTTTCGACTTGAGCTACTTGAATTCGAGGGCAGCTGCGATTTACTCAGTGCCTACATTGCAAGCATTCGCCATGGTGAGAATGTTTTCTGCAAAAAAATTCCACGATGTCACATGTCAGTATCAGCTTCTTAACCAGGAATTTTTTCTGATGTAACATGTTTAAGAAACTAACAACGAAAAATATATTAATTTGAAAGATAAAATGAGAAAGTGGAACTGGGAGAAGAGGAAAAAAATTTTTGGCCACTGAAAGAATTAAACAACTTTTTTTTTAATGCAATTATACCTCTCCAAGTTAAGCTTCAAAGGAGCAGCAAAAAATCGAGTTTGGAAAACAATGATTCTTGTTGGGGGGGGGGGGGGAATAAATAATTCCAGAAAATTGCAATTGTTGATATTTTAGACTTTAAATTGCTTTTTAAATTAGCTGAATGGATGCTGAACTTGGAGGCAACGGTTGATTTTCCTAGTCTATAAAAGCAAAAAGACGTCCAGAAAAATTCGAGGTATGGATATTTTTGGACACTGAATTGACATGGGGTACATTTTTTTGATGAAATTGCAAATACGTTTCAGGCCAAATTACAAGAAACAGAAATTTCCAACCCTAAAATCGATGTAAGAAAAGTTCTTGGAAATTTCTCTCCCCCAAATAACCATCCATTCAGCTAATTAAAAAAATTACCTCCAGCATAGTGGGAAATTTATGAAGTCCTTCTCTTTTTTTCACTTGAATATTATTTTTTTTTGCAGAGAATGCCAAAGTTTCTATGTACTGTAAGAGGTATAAGTATTCAATTCCCCAAATGTCCATATTGTGTCGAAATATATTTATTGAATCAGTTTAAATTGGGAGACTATTTTCATTTTCATGGAATTATGGCGAGTATTTTGTACATAAAACACCAATTAAAATTATGTTATGTAAGTCTAAAGGAAAATGAGACTTGTCTTAGGGAAATTTTGACTTGGGGACACTCTTAACGCACCAATTACGTCCGCATCTCGGGGTCTCACAGTAAAAGTATATTCATCGCAACAAAAAAATATGCTCGTATTCCAAACAGTTGATTGCAGCAAAATTGATGAAAATGGAACGACTCAGAGGGGAACAAACATCTGGGCCATTATTCACGTTTTTCCTCACAATGGTCGCGAGTAGCGCCATCTCTGTGGCACGAGTGGCGAGAAACTTCACCAAGGTAAACCAAACATTTTTAGAAAGCTCGAAATAATATTTTCAGGAAGTTGCACTCTGAATAATTGTTTCAGAACAGTGAAAACATCGCTATGCTGACTTTGCTGAGTTCGAAAACGATGTTGTTTCTCATTGTAACCATTTTGAGCTGCCTCTCAGATTTGCCCCAAGACGAGGAACCAGAGAAGAAAGTAAGTGGAACAAATTTTCTCATATTTCGAAGCACCCCACGTTACGCCAAAAACATGCAAATTATAGCAAACTAGCTGAAAAATGATAGCAAAATAAAAAGATTTTCATGCGAGTCTCGTACGATTTTATTCGCAAGCGAACGAAACCTGGTGCGTAACAATTGTCAACCATTTTTTTCTCAATTCGAATTTCGATTATATGAATTCATTAATCAATGGAAGGAAATAAAATCAATACTTGAGAGAAGCTTAAGTAAGCATAATTTTTTAGGGCTTCGGGGTTATTTTTGGCAGCGATCTGTCCGTCTTTGGCGAAAATTATTCTCAAATTTATCTGAAAGTTTTTCTAGGGGTTCCCAACAGTCTTCTTCACCATTTGCTTTCACTGAAAATACATTTTAATTCTGTCTCAATATTAATTAATTTTGGTGAACTTCATTGCTGAAAATTAAAATAATTTCCATGGCAAACATCAATTTCAACGTCAACCGGGAAAAGCCGTGCGACGTGAGGCCTTCTTCCTGAATAAATTTTCCAGGTGTTTTGGCCATCAAAAAATCTAGAAAATATTCGGAAAATTAGTTCCACGCGGCATTTTCAAAAAGTAATTCCACCGACTATTCAAAGCTCCTTAAATTCGTAAACTCACTTGTTTTTTTTTAAACGATATCTCTGGAATCATGGGACTAATAAATTGCTAAAATCGAAAAAAAAACTGAGTTTCATTCCACTGCGAAGACTATAATTTGCAGACGATTCCCACGAATACCTCAGAATCTATTTCGCTGAATTTTAAACTCAATTTGAATAAAATTTGATTTTTTTTCCAGAATGAAGCGGAAGAATTCGATCTCGAACGACCGGAAGAAGCGTTTTACGGACACAATTTACCCCGGTGTCCGGAACAGGATTCATCGTTTCCGAGTCGCATCAGTTTCCACTGGTTGACCCCGTTTGTGAGAAGGGGTTACAAAAAATCAATCACAGTTAAAGACATGTTTCGATTGCCTCCGAGTCTCGAACCCTCGCACGTGATCCGGAAATTTGACGAAAATTACATCAGACACTACAGACGAAAAGGAAGACCGTGAGTTTTCAAATTGTATTTTATCGACTAGGAAAAAAAATTTCACGGGATGCCAAAGAAAAAGAGAAATTAAACAAAAGTTACGTGCATGAAAAAAATAATAATTAAAGCAGGGCTTTTTCGAGCAGCATTTCACGTGGAATGTAGCATTTTCAATGGGAATCTTAGACAAGGTAATTTTTAATATATAATTTCAAAATATGTTTAAAGGCAAAATGTACAGTACAGTATTAGATTCTCAAACATATGACATCCAGTAAAAGATCACAGCTGTCTCTCAAGATTTTGTGTGCAATTGATTTAATTTTTATGAAGTGTCATCACAGAGTAATCACCAATGTTTCCACAAAAGCTTAAACTTTTTAATGAAGGTGGGTATAATGCACCAACAAATATTTTTCAGTAATGTAAAAAATCCTAAAATAGATTTTTGCACATCTACCTCGAGTTTCATGTCAGCATGGGAATGTGATTCTCAGTCAAAAGTCTTCTGATCCAATGATATCCTTGGGGAAAATGACTAAGCTGACATCAGTTTCTGCCCATTTTAAAAAAACATGACAGATTTCTTGTGGCACTAAGCGAATTGGCACTAAATCAGGGTTTTCCTCAAGAACATAACAAAGGGAGATTCGTACCATGGAAATTTGTGGCACTGTGCCATGATGACACTAAGTTGAGGGTTAACTGTAATTTCAACTGGCATTGTCTTACCAGAATTTCAGATGAAGATGAGAGTTCATTGCCATTTTTGATGAATTTACAATGCTAATCTTAGAAATTGATAATATCAATAGGATAATATTGGAATTTAGATATAAAAAATTTGAAAGAAAAAGTATTCTTCAAGCTCCTGAAAGAACCCTAATCTGTCAGGAATTTTATGGGACCAAGTTTGACATCCAGCTCCTACAAGGGTTTCCAATATCCTTGGGATTTCCTAGGATCACTCAGTCCTCAGGGACAAATTTTCACCAAGAAAGGTTTTCAACTGTTGGAACTTTTCTGTTTTGGATATCAGTTGCTTTTTGACAGTCTCACGCTAAAGACATTGAAACTTGCTTTGAAATCCTTGCTTTTTGTCAAATATACCAACCTTCTCTTCTTACTGATAGAAAAAAGCTTGAAAAAGATTTACAAGTATTGGCATTCAATGAAGAGACCCTTTCTGAAATCTTGAAGGATCAAGATAAACTGTTGGCCTTACATGATTTCTCATCAAAGATTTTCTCTAATTTGTTCATTGAACCAAGCCTCATACAGAAACAAGCTGAAGACCTTGTGCTTTAAATGAATTTTTACATACATTTTGTTTTCAACGTCAGGGAATGAATGGGTGCATGCATACATGTCAGATGTCCAGTTGTATTTTGTGGATTGTATTTCTTCATTTTTGATCATTAGAATTTGTTTTGATGACTTTTTTGAATACAATATCACTAGTTAAGAACTTGAGTATGGTTTTTATTGTTTTAAATACCTGCATTGGAATCATGGTCTCTGATGACTGACGACGCCTTTTCTTGTTCTCGGGCTGTGCTGAGGCGGAAATGGACTTCCGGGAAGTTGATTGCGCTTCCGCGGGTTTCGGAAGGAATTTGAACGCCATTGAGTGGATTTGGGTTGGGTGGGAAGGAGGTTTGGTTGTGGCAATCTTGATTGAACCTTGTGAATGCTGAAAAGTGGCAAATTAAGTGTTCTGCTCATTCATTCATTTATTCATTCATACCAACCTTACACTGGGGTGTCAAACACCTCAGCCATAGCCCAGCTGATTGCTGTATTCTTTATTTTAAAAGTGCTCATTCAACCTTTTCATTATCATCAGTTTAAGAAAATTTCCCACGTATACCGGCAAAAAACTTCTCCAGCTAGTGTTTCCCAGGGGTTGGGCAACACTATATCAGACAGTTTTTTTTACCACTCAGTTGGAATGTGACCAGCAAATTTCTCTGATTCAAACTTCTCTTCTCGATATCCCCACAATCTACATACAATATTTTGCATCATATCAAGAATCTATGTGGTGAAGATCCCCGAGATCATCCCGGCATTCATGATTGACAAAAACGGAGACCCAATGGCGTTCAAATTCCTTCCGAAACCCGCGGAAGCGCAATCAACTTCCCGGAAGTCCATTTCCGCCTCAGCACAGCCCGAGAACAAGAAAAGGCGTCGTCAGGACATGAATGAAACAGAGAGACAAGAATATGATCGAAACAAGAAGGAACAAGACGAGTGGGCCAAACAAAGAATCCGGGGTTTGCCCACCGTCTTACGCACTTTCTGGGTGCCATTCACTATTGCTGGCATTGTCAAACTCATGCAGGACCTGCTCATGTTCGCCTCACCCTATTTGCAAATGTGAGGGGTTTTACAATAACATTTTTGAACTAAATGTGCAATTTTAAATAAATCTCGAATAATGCAAAGCTTCGAAATTATTTCAGTTCCTCTTCAGAAAGACTCAAACATAAGTTGGCGGGGTTCCATGATTTTTGCGCGCAGTTTAAAAAAATAATGTACCAGCAAATATTGAATTTTCTTTTACACGGTGTGACAACGATTTGGAAATTTTCCAATTGTTTTAACTAGAGTAACACAATTAACTCAATACTCCTTTTGGACTTTTCTCCACCTCGGTACTTCCAGTGCTGGACCATAAGCGATTTCACTTTTTAAAAAAGCTTGCAAAATTGTTTTTTCGACATTTTGTGCAATTATGCCTCGCAGGAAATTCATTCGAATGATTACCATTGAAATTACGCACAAACTAGATGAGAAATGGCGATTGATTTATTAGTGGGAGACTTCTTTGTTCAACTTCTAGGAATGACCTGATCATCTGGAAAGGCATAAATTTGTTGCATGAATTGAAGTACAGTACAGGGTGGGCCAAAGAAAGTGAACCGATTTTTTATTTGGAATAGCTTGGTAGCAAAATTGGATAAGTAATCATATTAAAACTTGTTCAATTTTCTTTCAAATGGTATGTACTTCCATGGTTCCATGTGCCACAGAATAATGTTCACAAAAACCATTTGAATGAAAACTTTCCACAAATTTCTATCTCAGAAACTTCCACAAGACCCCTCAAACTTTCTCCCAAGTGTCACTACAAGTGCCAAATTAACACATTCCTTTTGCGTGATTTCAAGTCAGGCGAATCATCAATTTCATGACATCTGATGAGCCCCTATGGAAGGGATACTTGTATGCCATTGCAATGCCTGCTGTTGCAGTAATCCAAACCTTCACCCTTCATGCCTACTACCACAAGGTGCTGAGAGTTGGGATGGAGATCAGAACATCCATAACTTGCACCATTTACAGAAAAGTAATCAAAGGAACCATCAGATTTTCCACTTTGCTTTTTGGAAAATTATTTCAATTTCTCTCTCTCTTTCTCTCTCTCACACACAAACAGGCCCTGAGGGTGGCACCAAGTGCCAAGAGAGACACTACTGTTGGCCAACTGGTCAACCTAGTCTCTGTGGATGCCCAAAAGTATTTGGATGGGATCTTTCTGGCTCACTTGCTTTGGTCACTGCCAATTCAAATTACAATAGCTTCCTTCATGTTATATGATTTGATAGGTGAGAAACTATAAATGGTGAATAAAATGATTTTACAATGCACTGCAGGAATATTTTTACTCCAAAGGCATTGTGATGCTGGCAGGAGTTGCTGTGATGATGGCAGTCATGTTTGCAAATGCAGGTATTGCAGTCTACTTGAAGAAAAAGCATTTGCAGCTAATGAGCAAAAAGGATGACAGGGTCAAGATGATGAATGAGATCTTGAATGGCATAAAGGTGAGCAAATTAACTGTAAAGTTGCTAAATCTGTAACTAAATTGCTTCCTACAAAAATCCACTTTCAGTCATCAAAGCCATTGATAGCATTTAATTGATTACAAGCTTTAGTGCATTTAAGTGCATCTTTAACAACATCCTCAATTGCTTCATTCCTTCCAAGCCAGGTATTGAAGCTTTATGCATGGGAAACAAGTTTTCTCAACATTGTTGAAGAGATCAGGAGACAGGAAGTCAGGACCCTGTACAGTATGTCTGTGATTCAAGCAGTGTCCAACTTCCTGTCCATATTCTCACCATATGCTGTTTCCCTGGTGACATTTGGACTCTATGTCATGGTTGAACAAAGGTCACTCAATGCTTCCACCATATTTGTCTCTCTCACCCTGTTTGACATGCTCAGAATGCCATTGTCCACAATCCCTGCTGTTCTCATGTACATTGTCCAGGTTCAAGTGGCACAAAATAGGATTGATAATTTTTTGAATGCAGAGGAACTCCAGTTGGATGCCACCATCAGAGACCATGATTCCAATGCAGGTATTTAAAACAATAAAAACCATACTCAAGTTCTTAACTAGTGATATTGTATTCAAAAAAGTCATCAAAACAAATTCTAATGATCAAAAATGAAGAAATACCCTGCAATATGTCATCACATCCCTACCAAAATTATTCTGGAAATAATACAGTGGAAAAAATGCTCTCATAACACAGTACACTTCTGAAATCAAATTTTACCAGAGGACTGCGCTTGAGTCTCTTTGTGATTTTCAGATCACCTTGAAATTTGCACAGATATTTTACACTGCATTCAATTATTCAAGACTAGTCACATAGTCCTTCAGGTTCTAAATGAGGCAAACCACAATCTTTGGAAAGCAAGTTTTGCATCAGCCAAATCTTGCTTTCCCAATTTGTTTTTGCATAGACCCTTTCAAAACTGACCATTCATTCATTTTTGGCAGAAGTTATCAGCATGGAACATTAAGGGTCAACTGCATTTTAGAATGTTCTCCACATGCTCACTTAAATTCAACATAAATGCTTGGCCATTTTGATTTTACAGAATAGGAAATGGAGCAGATTTTGAAAACAGTGACATGAGCACGTGGCCTATCTCTCACCAAAAAATCAAGTGATCCAAAGAAATTCTTTGTAGAGATATTTCTTTCACAGAAAACCCAAAACTTGGGAAGATATCTCTATTGGACCACAAAAATTCTTTATGAAGAGAACAAAGTTTGTAGAGATGATTGCTTTAGTGAGAGTCTAACTGTAGAAGAAATTTCAGCCAAACCTCTAGAAAAAATATAGGAAGTAAAAGACCTTGAATTTGTTTTAAACTAGAGGGATCATAATAGAAAAAAAAAATCGAAAAATGGCAAACATCTACAGTTTTCAACCTCACAAGTCACCACAAATGTTGTTCCTCCTTTTCTCCAAATGCAGAATTTCCAGTGGATATTAAAAACGGAAATTTCGCCTGGATCCAAGGACAGCCTTTGCTCCAAGAAATCAACCTACGGGTTGGCAAAGGCAAACTTTGCGCCATTGTGGGGAAAATTGGCGCGGGAAAATCCTCCCTTTTGTCAGCCATGGTTGGAGAAATGTCTCGCATTTCTGGATCTGTTCACGTTTCGGCAAGTATTTTGTTAATGTAATCAATTCCACTTATATTCTAATAACATCAACAACCCATCGTTCATGTCCAATGACGTCAGCAATCCTGTTCACTTGGTAAAAAAAAACATAAAATCTGTACTTTATCAGGTGTTTAGACATACTAGCTTTTGATCAAATCTAGCATCAAATTACGCATCTCCATGCCATACAAAATACTTTAAAAGCCTTTTAGCAGCTTGATTCGTCCACAGCTGGAAAATAACTCAATCCTCCAAAAATAAAGTATAATTCTGTATAAACACGTCACTGTTCATGCATTGCATCATGAAGTTTCTAACAGTAAAAAAAATATGTCGCCAGGCGATACAATTTTCATGGTTCGTTCCAGGACTGAAGCATTTATTTTAGGGCACGTAGATGTCACCAGCTCACAATTTTGCATTTTGAAATTGAAAAATTGTCATCAGGGTCTTACATGCTTCAAGGTTTTTTTTAGTATTTCCACATTCGCGTGGTCTCGGTTTGAGATAATTGACTTTTAGAGATTTAAATTTTTGAGAAATCAAATTTAATATTTGCGATAACAAAAAGGGGTTTACACAAAGAAATCTTCCAGATGGGCGCCTCATCTTTCAAGTTAAGAGCAGCAAGCATCCATGGTGACCCATGCAAGTTTTTTCTGCAAAGTACAGTACGTCAACTATACAGTACTTCTTGGGCCAAAGTACTGAGCCAAAGTACTGAGTCAAGTTCATTACTTCTTGAGCCAAAGAATTTTTTTCTGAACAACAGTTGTTTTTTCAGATCAATCCCATGCAGGTTCAATTTTTTTCTTTTCCAGAATTTTTGTAAGACCCCACACATACACTTGGAGTGCCATCTTAAATATCATCAATTAGTTGTTTAAAATGATCAAGTTATGTAAATGCAAAAAATAAAAACAGCAAAACTCATTTGAAAAGTGGTGCAGGAATTGTTTGAAGTTCGGGAAAAATCCAACTGATGCTCTATGGCACAAATCTGGACAGGAACTTCTTGGAAAAACTTGAAGTCCACAAAAAGATCCAGCGTTAGCCTGTTATTCAGAGTGAATGTTTGTTACTGTTCCTGACATAATTTATTTTACAGATGAAACTTCTAACATGCAAAAACACCTGAAATAAGATGTTACATATTTGCAGCTTCAATTTAAAACAATTTTCCCAGGCATTAAATTTGAAAATCTCATCATAATAAACTATTCTTGATAACAAAACTTTCTGAAGTCCCCACGAGTTCGTTTTAACAAGAATTCACTGTATTCAGCATAAAATATTTCAAGTCCCCGCGAGTTTTTAGCACCGACATTTTTCTGCACACACTCTTCCTTTGCTCACATGTTTAAAACAAAAAATCGCATGCATCAAATCAGAAAACTGAACGCATATAATTCTAAAATGAAAAAAATTTAACGTTTCGATTTATTTCAGGGCACAGTTGCATACGTTCCTCAAACAGCCTGGATGCAAAATGCGTCCATCAGGAACAACGTGCTTTTCGGAAAGTCATTCAACGCCGCATGGTATTGGAGAGTTTTGAAAGCCTGCGAAATTTTGCCTGACCTCGACATCCTCCCGGCGAGAGATTTCACCGAAATCGGAGAAAAAGTGAGTTCCACACACACACACACACAAAATGTATTCCTTGCAACAACAACAACAAAAAAGAATAATGTGGAAATTTTAACCCGATAACCAAATGAGGGCATAAATTTGAGCGGAGGTCAGAAACAGCGGGTGAATCTCGCGCGTGCCGTTTACAACCAAGCGGATATTTATCTCCTCGACGACCCCCTCAGCGCAGTTGACCCCCACGTGGCCCATGAATTGTTCAAAGAAGTCATCGGACCCCAGGGTTTGCTGGCCACGAAAACCCGTATTCTCGTCACCCATCACCTTCCTTTCCTTTTCCAGGTAATTCACCAGTCGGTAAAAAAAAAAAGCCTTAAGAAAAAAATTTGCGAATATGTTGTCTCTCGAAAATTTAAATTTCCTGGGAATTTAAGACATTGTTCTCGGCTATTCCAATGATTTTTCAGTTTTACAGCAGATAAATTAACTCCTATTCATCCAATAAAAAATTCAAATTTTGAACCGAAGAACTAAATTAACCATACGTATCCAATACAATACCCAATCCGAAAACTGAATTAAATATAGCATCAACTTGGCACATACTAAAAAATGGTTTTGGAATATAAATTGGACCGGCATTCAATTCAGCAGACAAAACAATTACTGTACAGTATTCTACTGAAAAATGAAACATTTTTTGGGACAAGAAAAACAATTCAGCCTCGTTTGACATATTTTCCAAAAAAAATTTCAAAAAGTCTTACTATAGCAGCTTTCTTCACTTCATTCAAAAGATCAGGCGCCCATCTTGAAAATTCAGGTTTTCCTTCTGAATTTTTGAAATCACAGTAATTTCAAGGGTTGCTTCCATTACTTCATACCGACGCCTTCACAGTCGCCACCTGGGATGAGAATGTGGCGGCTGTGAATGAAAATGGCGGAATAGCCTTGGACGTCCTATTGGAGACAAGCCTTGGAATTATTCCCATGTCAATTTCAAGAATTCTGAGGAGAAGCTGGACTAAACCAAAAAATATGCGAGACGGGAGCCTCATTTCTTCAGTGAAGAGCAAAAATCTGCCGGAGTGACTTTTGCAGCAACAAAATATTGCCAAAAAAGGGCTGATTTTTTTTTTTTTCCTTTCGCCGAACAGTGTTTGTCCTAAACAATAATTTTTCCCAGCTCAGTCATATTCGCCCAAAAACTTTCGTTAGACCCACTTGAGTACTGTAGAGTATTTAATTGACCCAACACTGACCTGACCTTCTTGCAAAGTAACTGAATAAATTTTAATTGCATAAAAACCTGATGATGCAACCAAGAAATACGTTATTCTGAATACACCCAGCTTAATTTCACAAAACTCACCCTTGTGACCCCCAGTTACCTCAGTGTAACCATATTTGTACAAGCACTCACACAGTCACACAGATAAAATTTCTTATTATGGACAAGGAAGAACTCAGGCATTGTTTCAATTCATACCAGAGTTATGAAATACAGATCTTACATGGATGAGTGATTCAATCAAATTTTAATCCAATCCCTTCATCGCAGGCAGATGAAATCATAGTTCTTCGCCAAGGAAGGATCATTGATCAAGGGAAGATGACTGACCTTATCAAACATGGCTATGAGGAATTACAGCAATCATTCCTCCCAACCGAGTCAGAAAGTGAAAAAACCAAGGCTAAAGGTAAAGTACTTTAATTTGATTTGAAAGAATTTCAAATCAATTTCAAAGGGTAGAGCAGGAAATGACAAGATTTTTTCCTCTTTCTGCTTTAAGAGGAAATCAAGTCTGAAGAGAAGGAATCCAAAGATCCTGAAGATATTTCAAGGTTAGTCAAAGTGATATTTTACCCACAAAAAAAATTCATCACAACATTCAGGCGACATCTATGTATCAGTTTGAACATGAACCTAAATTTTTTGTTTTCTCTTCAGTGACTACAAGGCAGTCCATGGCACTGACGAGCACAGAATAATATTGGCGGAGAAAACAGAAACTGGACGAGTGAGTTACTCTGAGCATGAAGTCAATTTGAAAAAGTCTTGAAAATAACCCACGAATTACCAACTTACAGTATTTGGATAAAACATAGATGAGGCAATAGGTGAAGTAATTTGATTCGAAAGAATTCCATTTGATTTCAAAAGGGTAGAGGCGGAAATGACAAGATTGTTTCCTCTTTTTTCTTCAAGAGAAAATCAAGTCTGAAGAGAAGGAATCCAAAGATCCCTTTGGGAAACTTACTTTTCATCATTTTCGATACTGAAAATTCATTTTTTTTTATCAGAAAATAAAAAATAAAAATCAATTTTACAATTCTTCATTGGATATTGGAAGAATGAAGAAACAAAATAGTCTTTTTCAAGACTTTCAGCACGTTAGACTTCCGATTACAAATTTCCCAAGACAAAAACAAATTCAGAATTGTTCATGGAATCGATCTAAAATCAGCTAGAAAGCCAATTTTTATTCTTTTTCGCGAATATAGTTGCATCTATAATTTTCTTTTTTAAGAGTAAAAAATAAATAAAATCTTGAGAAAATTCAAATGACTGTAGCAGTTATATTTTCAGAAGTAAAAGGATGAACCTTGAATTACTTTAGAGAAAATGCGAATTTGAATTAAATGGCCATCGCCGAAGACTTTTAGCACGCGAATACAGAAGTTAATGATATTTTATGCTCTCAAAAAGTTGACATATTATGTCTATTCAAAAATGTTACTCAGTATTCCATCTCCATCTTCGAAAAATTGAACAAATGCCTTCACAAAAGGATAAAAAAAATATGAAGAGCCAGGAAATTAAATTCGTCAGTGAAAATAAACCCAACTCTCGAGACAAAGTACGGTAAAATACCGCTACAACAAAAATTTTCGTCATAAAAAATTTTTTTCTGGGGTCCCAGCAGGCGCCAAGTTGTAATGAATCTCGTTTTAACGAACTCATTTTCACTTGTCTTCTCAGAATGTAGAAATTTTGGCCCTGATTCTGTTCATAGGCAATAGGGTTTATTTTATAAATGGCAGAATATATATTTTTTAATTGCACTGGCTCAGCATTTCAACCTCATCAAAGACGCAAACCTTTCTGTAGAGAAAGTTTTAAATTCTTTCGCTCCACTTGATAATATGCAAATCCGTTTTTATTCCGAAGATTTTTTCGTCAGGTCCCTGCGAGTGCGTTGTAACGAGCTTTTCCTGTACAACGAAATTTCCAGGTTCGTCACACAGTGTACAAATACTACTTTGCCTGCATCGGATGGATAATTTTCTTCGCCATGGTTTTTCTGTTTGTGATTGCCGAAATCATCAAGACACTGTCCAGATTTTGGCTAGCATGGAATTCCAGGAATGCAAAGTCTAATGATGACACGAATTTCAACAAACTCGACAATTCGTCCTTTGACAGCGCGGCCTTTTTGGCTATTTACGCAGCTTTCGGCGCTGCTTACGGTAAAAAAAAGAAAGGCTAATTTTTTGTTGTTATTGGAATTTGCATGGAAGTCACAAAGAAATCGCTATTATTATCAAAAGTGTTTAGTCTATTTTCAGTTTTAAATTATTGCTTACTTTCAAGAACTGCTTATCCATCACCAAAGAAGGAAAACCATTTTTTGAGGCCATATGGAGCACAAATATTTGTTCAAATAAAAATTAAATTATTTTCGAGGTAATTTGATAAAAATTTTACGGAATTTACGTCACACGTTTTTCAGGACAATCATCTGAAAAATTCTGCATGCGCATGAATAACTTTTTCATTGGTCCATCTTCTTTGAAAAATTTTTTTTTTAATTGATGATGGGACAAGTCGGACAACCTTTTCATTTTCGTTTCAGCAATTGCGTTTTTCTTTGCACTTCTGCTACTGTTCTTGGGTGGTCTGCGAGCTTCCATCAAGATGCATGGGCACATGGCGGAAAAGATTTTCCGATGCCCGAATTCGTTTTTCGAAACCACGCCGATTGGCAGAGTGCTGAACCGTTTTGGCAAAGATTTGGACGTTTGCGACACCATGCTACCGGAATTGATTCGCGGGTTCCTCGTTTGCGCGACCATCGTGAGTTTTCTTCTTCTCTATGTATATTTTTTTAAACGATCAAAAACATATTTCATGGATGAATTGAAATTCGATCGACAGGTCATTGGGACGATCATCGCGATTGCTTACTCCACACCACTGGTTCTCATCATCGTCGCTCCTCTGGGAGTTTCCTACTGGGTCGTTCAGGTTTCATTCGTTATTTATTATCAATATTTTATTTCATTCATTAAAAAAACAGGGCCATAGAAAAAAAATTCATCGAAGATCCCTAGAATATTTATCCCATCCCGAGGATTTCACGAAAGTCTCGCGTTACATTCGGAAATCATCACTGATGACAAACAGAACCTGGCTGAAATTTTGAGTGAAGTACCAAGTTGAGCAGCAATAATAATATTTCCATGAATTTTTATTTAGTTTTCAAACTTCTTGACGACTTTTAAAAGCCTATTTGAAAAATTACGGAAAGACTTGGATTTTTCTTTCATGAGCAAGCCGTGAATGAAAGCGAAATTCTTCTGAATAGTGTACAGTGAAGCACAGTATTTTGCTTCAAATGCACAGATTTTTCGGAAGATTCATAAAAAAATCCACAGAAAATTTAACCCATTTGGAGGGTTTCATAGAAAATACGCGATCTATTCCAAAATCATCACTGAACACAGCCAAAAAACATGTTGGAAATTTTTCAGTGAAGTATAAATTTGAGCAGTAAGAATAATATTTCCAGGTGCAATATTATTTCTGTTTTTACCGTCTTGGAGACTTAAAAAAAATTGAGAAATTACGGAACGACACACGGTTTTCTTTAGCCTGAGCAAGCCCTGAATTCAACTGATATTATTTTGAGTGCTGTACCGAAAAAATATTTTGCTTCAAGTCCGCAAATTTTGTTTTCAAAGTACGGCATTTTCGCCAATTTACAACCAGAAAGCCTCCGTTTTCAGACGTTCTTCACGAGAATAATTTGCGATAAATTAATCGGCAAGCAAAGTATTTTACAGACCGTTCGGCTGCATTTATAAAAATGCGAAACTCCGCGAATGAACGAATAGTTTCTGTTTTTCTTCCGAAAAATAAATAGCCGATTGTCGGAAACAAGGGATTTAAATTAAATTTCCCTTTTTTTCCCCCCATGAATTTCAGCAATATTACGTGACGACGTCGAGGCAGTTGAAAAGAATGGAAAGCGTGAGCAGGTCCCCGATGTTCTCTCACTTCAGCGAAACCCTCAACGGGGCCTCGACCATCAGAGCCTATCAACAACAAGGCACATTTGTGCAGCAAATGTTCCGGAAAATCAGCTACAACCAAGCGACTTTCTATCCGTACATTTGCGCAAATAGGTGTCGTATTTATTTTTCAGCATTTCTTTCTTTTTTTTTTTGCAAATTTTCAAGCGGTTTCACTGCCGTCAGGTGGTTGGCTTTGCGTTTGGAAGCAGTCGGAAATTTGTTCATTCTTGGAACCACCATTTTGTGCGTTCTTGGGAAAGGTTCTTTGGACCCCGGGATGGTTGGCTTGTCGCTCAATTATGCTTTAGCAGTAAGATCCTTTTTTTTTGCCATTTTTCAAGTCAAACTAGAAAAAAAACATTGAGGAATACAATGCAGTCGAACCTTGTCAAGTCGAATTTCGCACAACCAGAAAAAATTAAATTTAGCGGAACAAGCATTTTTGTTGTGGAAAAGATCTAAAAAATTGCAAGGACACTGTAAATTGTGATATTCCGGGTCTTGAAGCCAGTTTTAAATGAGTTGACAGGATGCTGAACTTGGAATAAATGGTTCATTTGCCCAATTTACTCTTTCACTTCCTTTCAAAACACATGAAGTTAGTTCTTTGATCGCTTTTCTCTTTCCTGTGTCAAGAAAATAACAGCCAAAAGGCCTCAGAAAATTTGAGTTATGGGGGTTTGAGAGGAAGAGCCTTTGAGATAGAAAAGTTTTCAATGCATTGTTTCTAAGGGAATTTGAGGACTTCAATGAACATTGGAGATACTGTATCTGGCTTAGAGGTTAAATTGTTCATGGAAATTCTGAGCACTTGAATTTTTTTCCACATTCCTTCACATGCAGGAAAAAAGGCATGCGAATCTTTCGACAATTTCTGCCAGAAGCACAATTTTCAAGTTTCACTCCTTCCAATGAAATAAGTAACTCGAAAAAAGCAGGAGGAGATTAGCTAATGTCAGAATTGATTCACGGAATCATTGATCATCATCACGATCATGCTTGTGTTTGTACTTAAGTACAGTATTTATTCATACTCTGTATTTTAAAAAATGAATTTTTTTCAATATTCATGTTGAAAAAATTTCCGTATCTTGAAACATAGTCTTGTTGCCGTGAGAACTTTTTTCCACAGTTTAGAGAGTCCGTAATTCGAATTTGTCCGTATGTTGGGAGTCCCTCTGTATTTTTTAATTCGCCACATAATTTTTTCTCCCTATATTAAGGCATTAACTGCACTGGGATGGCTCGTCAGGATAACGTGCGAAATAGAAACCAACATCGTGTCAGTAGAACGAATCAAGGAATACAGTGAAATGCCGTCCGAAGCTCTGTGGGTGATCCCAGAAAATCGTCCTCCTCCGGATTGGCCTTCTCGGGGCCAAATCGAGTTCGTCGACTACAAAACTCGCTACAGGCCTCGACTGGGTCTCACCCTGCACGGCATCAGCATGGTTATTCAACCAGGAGAAAAGGCAAAACTTTTTTCGCAAATACATTCAAAAAAATCGATCATTCAAATACCTCTGGATGTTGGATTCTTTTTCGAAGTCCCCCCCCCCCCCTCTGAATTACAATAGAAACAACGCATTAAAAATCTCCCTTACCCAAAGGCTTTCCTCCTCAAACCTCCACATCTCGAATTTTCTGGAGGCCTTTCGGCACATATTTTATTGACACAGGAAACGAAAATGCAATAAAAAAATGACCAGTATTTTGATGAGTTATGAAGGCAAATGAACCCTTCCCTCCAAGTTTAGCACATCTGTCAACTCATGTAAAAGAAGCATTTTAGGGCCCAGCATATCATGAATTAAAATTTCTTGTTAATTCTTATTCTTTCATATCCCACGCAAAAATGAACGTTTCTTGGTACTTTCCTGTTATCTCTGTACCTCATTCCAAGACCGCACTACCATCCAGACAAATATTTAGGACAAGTTCATAATCACAACAACCTACCAGAAACTGAATTTTATTTCTTTGCATTCTGCTGAAACTGATTTTGGGAGGCAGTTAGGTAAAGTTAGGTTAGGTCAGGTTCTTTTATGTTAGTTACAAATATCTTTTAATCAACATATTTAACAACAACAAACATTTTAACATATCTTTTATGTTAGTTACAAATATCTTTTAATCAACATAACCTGACCTAACCTAACTTTACCTAACTGCCTCCCAAAATCAGTTTCAGCAGAATGCAAAGAAATAAAATTCAGTTTCTGGTAGGTTGTTGTGATTATGAACTCGTCCTAAAGTTAGGTAAAGTTAGGTTAGGTCAGGTTATTTTATGTTAGTTACAAATATCTTTCAATCAACATAACCTGACCTTATCTAACTTTACCTAACCGCCTCCCAAAATCAGTTTCAGCAGAAACCCAACAAAAACAGAAACTGATTTTGGGAGGCAGTTAGGTGAAGTTAGGTTAGGTCAGGTTAAATTGGTCAGAGGGAAGGTACAGAGATAACAGGAAAGTTCCCGTTTCTCTTACTCCAATTTTTGTCCTGGTCTCTCGAAGTTCGACAGTCAAAAAATACTCCACTTCAAAAATTTTTACACGATTTTGCATCACAACAGGTTGGGATAGTTGGCAGGACTGGAGCAGGAAAGTCATCCTTGACAATGGCACTGTTTCGGATCGTGGAAGCGGTTGAGGGGAAAATACTGATTGACGACATCGACATTGCGACCATTGGACTTCACGATTTGCGCAAACGCTTGTCAATTATCCCGCAGGTGACGACTTCAAATCTATTTCCTACGCAACAACGTTTACAGATAACGAATTTTTCACACTAAAACTCAAATTTCCAGAAATTCGGCCTCACAACTACGCTGAGCCGTTCTTCAAATCACGTCACTTTAGTTCCCACCTGCGGTTCTTTCTGCAAATGAGAACGCATCAAAAGAGCAAAAAGATACTAAGAACTTAAAGGATCAGTATTAGAAAAACCTACAAAGAAATTTAAGAAATTAAAACAAAAAACTGTACAATACTGTACAGGTGGACTCTCTCAACAAAAAAATTCAAGGGACCAGAAAAAATGCATTGTGAAGAACCCCTGTAACAGTGTTCCCCAACCCACAGTCAGCAGACCAGCACTGGTCCACAGAAGTTTTCATGGTCTGTAAGAAATTTTCTTTGGCATAATAAATTCATCCAAAGTAGCAAGGAAGTCTGTTATGCATCTGAAATTTCAGGATGAGAATGGTAGTTAAAATTATCTCATGTAAAATATAAGATGACTTTTTTCCTAATAATGCTTCAGACAAATCTTCATCTGCTGCAAAAAATATAATTTTTCATTCTGACGAATTTTGATTGATGCCCACCTTTCTGATTTTTTGAAGACATTCCACTAGTGGTGTTCCTTTAGATCTTACTTCAAGTTTTGCAAAATGCAAAAACATTATACACTTTTGCAGTCCCAACATTCTGCAGAAATTCATTTGGAAATTTGCCCGTCTGCTGAAAATTCAATGGAAATTTGCTGGTCTACAGGCTCAATAAGGTTGGGGACCACTGCCCTATAACATTGAGAGTGAACCCTAACGCACTAAAGATAAATTCTTTATACCGAGAAAATTAATCGTGGACAAAATGAACAAAATTAAGGGTTGACTTATCAAAATGTAAAATATGTTTTCAACCTTTGAAATACAGTACTGCCAACATCCAAATTTTAAAAAATATATCCTATTTTTGACATTAGTTATCTTGATTTGGATCTCTTCAAACTTAAAACATCTGATCACAAGCTGCATCACATTTTGAATTTCTCAGGACCCGGTCCTCTTCAGTGGCTCATTAAGAATGAATCTGGATCCATTCGAGGAACACACTGACGAGGCACTGTGGAAAGTCTTGGAGCTCTGCCACTTGAAAGATCACGTTCAAGCGAAAATGCGTCAGGGACTCATGCATCATATTGAAGAAGGTGGAGAAAACTTGAGGTTTGTACCGCAGTCAATGAAACCAATGTCTAAATTGGCAACTCCCCGAGGAATTTTTTTCTTTCAGTCTTGGTCAACGACAAATGGTTTGCTTGGCGAGAGCTTTGCTGAGATCGACGAAAATATTGATTTTGGATGAAGCAACTGCTGCTGTGGACTTGGGCACTGACGAACTCATTCAGGTTTTCAAAGCACTAAAATCACCACTAATATCCATTTTTCACTTCTTGAAACATCACCCAAGAGAATTGTACCTCCAAAGAAATTCCAGGAAGCTTATTTTGCAAAAAGCATTTTGATTTCATGAAGATCACGGAAATTGAATGCGAATTAATGGGAATTTTGTTGAGGATCCTGAGGTAAAACTCCAATTTACGGAAATGTTGAAGCATTAAATTTGATGGTTATCCAATTTTTAAAAAATTCTTCATACTTTTAGTGGTCCACAAAGAATTCTCCAAAATCACTTTGCTGAAGTTTTAGACGCTAAAAGGTTGGAACAATTTTGTGTAGAATTTCTATAAGGTTGTGAAAGCTTGTCTTGAATTTTTAGAAGTTTGTATGTAAAAGCTTGTCTAAAATTTCTAGATGATTTTTTCCACACACATCCATACAGGAAGAAATACCACTGTTCCCAAAATCTTTTTGAGCCCACAGACTGGCTTACTTCTATCAAATTTCTAGCAGACAGGCAAATTTACCAAAAATGTCCTGTGTGCCAACAACATTTTTTTTGCTGACTCAAAAAGTTTTGTTTGAAAGGCTTTGTATACAAAATGTATCTGCTTTTTTCAAAAATCAAGTCGAGAACCAATGGAGCAGCTCCAGTGAAATGTCTTCCAAAATTAGAAACGTGGGCTTGAAGAAAGGTTTCTCAAAAGGAAAACTTGAAATAATTTATTTTCAGCAGGTGAAAATTTGTCCAAAGTTACAACAAAAACCAAATTTTATTTTTCATCATATAATTTCAACTGCCTTCGTCTTTCTGAAATTTCAGATAGAGTTAACAGACTTGTACTTCTTCTCTGCTACTTCATCACTTATCATGCAGAAGAAAATTTCCTGCAGACCAGTCAAAAACTTCTGAGGACCAGTGCTGGTTGGTCCATGGGTTATGAAAAACTTTTCTTTACTGTACTATAAATTTTCATCTGTTTCCAAACATCTTCAACAAAGAAATGCTCCTTGTCTTGTTACATTTCAAGATTTAAAAAAACAATTCAAGTACTGTTACAAATATACAAAAATGATTTGGTAAATTCCTCTCCAAAAATAAAAATAATTTCACGAAAATCAAAGTTATTGCACGATTTTTTGTACCCATTCCTCGCAGAAAACAATTCGGTCAGCTTTCACCAGCTACACAGTTCTAACCATTGCACACCGAATGAAAACCATCATGGACAGCGACAAGTAAGTTGGAAATCATACACCTTTCATTCGCATCATCAAAACTTAGTTTCACAATTCCGTTACTCTATTCCAAAAAGGGTTCTGGTTCTATCCAAAGGACGCATACTGGAATTCGCTCCACCGCAAGAACTCCTAGCAAACGAGAATTCAGAGTTTTACGCGATGGCCGTCGATGCTCAACTCGTGCCCGGAAGACAGTCGTAGACCAGTAAAGAAAAAAATCACACGTGATCTGAAAAATCTCACAACGTTGACCAGAAATAAAAACTGTTTGACACGCATCAACACAGCTTGATTAAAATCAAAATTTCCGAAAATAAAAATTCCCCACGAAGAAAAGCCCGGAAGGTTCAGTGAACTTTCGAGTCCTCGTGGCTCCAAGACGCTTTGCGTTTCTCGGCAAAACTTGAAATGCCTTCCTGAGCATCTTTCAACCGAAGATTCTCAACCATGACAGCTGACCCATCTCTGACATCAAAAATTGACAAAATTTTAGAGGAAATATTTCTCGTAACATTACAAAAAAACAACACTATTTCACCTGTACGCTTCCTCTACAGAAGCACACTCGACTTGCTTGTTCAGAAACGCTTTCCCAATCTCGATCACAGGCTTGCTCTTGTGCACAATGTCGGCAACAATTTCTGACGTCTTAGCTTCTGCAAAAATATCGTCAACGAAATAAAATTTAAAAAGGAATGAATTTCAAAATCCCGAAAGAGAAAGGCACCTGGAAACTAACCTAGTTGGTCGTCAGGAACGACAACGCTGACCAACCCAGCCCTGAGGGCAGTTTCTGCGTCAATCGGTCGTCCAGTGAACAACATCAACGATGCAATTTTCAATGGGACATTACGCACAAGAGCAACGCCTGGAGTGGAGCAGAACAGCCCGAAATTTGCGCTGAAAATGTGACGAGAAATATGTCTTTCTTCGATTTAAAAAAGTCGGACCATCATGAAAGTAAAAGTTGCAGGAACTAAAAAAAAAAAAAAATCGTTTCATCACCATGGAAAATCAGGCAATCATTTATTATTATTTTTAATCTTCCCTTTCAATCACCAGCCGATTCTTGAATTTCTAGACAGCAATCTTTTCATAATTTTTTAAAATAAAAATATTAATGTTAGGGTGTCTGTATAATCATCAAATTTCCAAGAAGTGGCACTAAATCAAAATTCTTGAATATAAATAGAAAATTTTAATACCAGCTCGTGGATGAGTAAAATACATTGAGACCCCGACGTATGGATAACTCGACAAGGACACTTGAAACTCAGAAAAGCTACCCCGACATCAGACAATATCTCAAGATACGGACACTTATAGCAGGAGGGAAACATTCAATATTTATAAATTATGATAATCTTGAAAACTTTGATCTACTGTATATTCAAAAAAATTAAAAATAGATTGTATTTCAAATTTAATTAAATTCCTAATTGGAAACTGTTCCTTTTGTGCTACATTTTTCAAGTTTTATCTCCCATCATCTGTGCAGAGTATAGACAGACTTGCTCTTTTTCTTTGCTTCTTGTGCTTGTTTTGATGCTCCTTCTGCACTGTGATTTTCTGTATCTTGAAGGTGAGAAACCATTTTTATGTGATTTTTTGGGGACTTATTCACAATGTTCGATAAGCTGGAAAACAAATTAAATAATTTCCCATTCCAAGTCTATGGGAAAACGTGATCTGACATGCAGACACTCCCAACATATGGACAAGGTTCAAGCACCAATTACGTCCGCATCTCGAGGCTCCACCTACAGCATTTGTCACCAAAAATTGAACAAATTTCAGAAATAGAGAATTATTAGCCATGCACGGAAGCAAGAAAAATTTGTGTCTGAGATTTCTGTCATGTACATTTTTTCTGTGTGGGTTGCGCTGCCTTCACACTCTACTTTTGAGAGGTTGAGAGCGCCATCTAGTCTAAGATAAACCTCAGCACCAAACGGTACCAAATAGGCAAAAAGACACGTTCTGCACAGAACAACTGTTCGGATATGAGGAAAAAAGCCGCTTATCCTTCAAAACATGCTTTTCTTTCGGCTGAACGAGTTTTCTTTTCTTGTAAACGAACCCACAGCAACATGTTCTACAGCAGTAAAAAGACTTATTTCGTATGAAGCAGATCTGCGCCTGCAAATAAAATCTTTTCTCAACAGAAGACTGTGTTTATCTGAATATTGCTGGTGCACCAGACAACAATACCCACAGTGAACCGAAAAACTCATAAATTGTAAAATAAAATCAATTTTCAAGTTCAAATTTATATGAAGTAGTTCATGTAAAAATTCTCCACGAAATTCAAGTGCGACGCGCGCATAAACCTTCGAATTGTTTTTTTGAAAAATTTAATTCCACCTATTTCGCGAAACCCTTTTTTCCTTTCAATTTTGATTAAAAAAAAAGAGAAGGTGCGTGTGGAACTCGAGTAAAATACGGGTATTATAGTACAGCTCACATCAAATTTCAGACACTCGCGAATGCCTCAAAATTACGAGACAACATTTTCCATGAAAAAAAAAAATTAATAATAAACCCACCCAGGAGTGGAAAATGACGAGGAACCACCAGCAACAACGATGTCGCAGGAGGCCACAAGTTGGCAGCCCGCAGCAGCTGCTACACCCCGAACTTGGGCAACCACCGGCACACTCAGACTCCGAATGGTCGCGATCATGGTACTGCACGTGTCGAAAACGGCTCGATGATGATGGATGCCATCGGCAGTTCTCTACTAAACAAAATGCTATTTTTTCATCAAACAAACAGTAATTTCCTTTTTTAAATCATGTGTTTTCTGTTGGGTCGCGAATGTCTCGTGGGGGGGAAATGATGAAATTTTCGCACCAGTTCTTTGAGATTATGTCCAGCGGAGAAAACGGGGCCTTCGGAGTCGAGGACAACGCATCGTAGCTTTCGATTCGCCTCCGAATTTCCTTTCAAACCCGACGTGATTTCTTTCATGGCAGCCTGAGAGAGTGCATTACTGCAAGCCGAATGCGAAACCACATTTTTTTTCAGACAATTTTTCCAACCACATATTTCACTCCAATAACAAGGAAATGTCCCTCTCTTCCAATCCCTCATCGTATCCAATTTGTAAAAATATTTTCAAGATCGTGCATATTTACTGTGGAGTGACATGCATTTTTCATTCCAAGCGGTTTTTTGATTCTGCAAATGGAAAAAAAAACTTCATGCTTGCACAGAAAAGGTTGCAACTTTGCTGACGAGCTACAATGGGGTTTTGTTCTTTCCCTGGGGTCTCAGATTACGAACTTAATGCATTCCTCAGCAAAGTTTGTTCGCCAAATCACGTTTGCCCCAATGCAAGTAAAGGTTAATTTTGATCGGTCCCAGAACCTTGAAAGCGTCCATGAAAATCAAGAAAATTCATCTGGAAAATTCTCACTAGACATACAATTCAAGGAATTTTCCCAAGAAAACATACAAGAAAGAGTAAGTCAGGTGCTGCACAGTTCACTTTTCATCTGTGTCTGTGAAACAAAACAACAAAAAAACATTTCAGGCAATCTGTGCAGTGCTGTACTTAGTTGAAAAAATCATTTAAAAAATATATGACATGAGAACACTAATGAAACAAAAGCAGATTGAGAGCATCATCAAAAAATAACTCAGCAAAAATAAAATAAATGTTCAAATAAAATGAAAATAATGCAAAATTATTCCACTTGGTGATTCCAGCCTCGATATCTGCAGTAAAATAAGAAACAATTAACTGGGAAATAGCGCCTGCTGATCCCAGGGACAGGGGGCAGACATTTTTGAGAGTTCACAATCAAATGCACCAAAGTTTGTCAACTGAGTCAGGGTTTGTTAGCCAAAGCAGCTCAGGCCAAACCCCTAAGTTTGTTAGCTGGAAAGTATGTTAGTTGGAAAGTTTGTTAACCAGGGAATTTGCAAGCCAAGACCCCACTGTACTGTATTCAAAAAATTTGAAACCAGGAACAATTCTGCATTATTACAATACAGCACAATCAAATCCTGAACACTATAATTCAGAGGGAAAGAACAAAAATCGAAGCTTTGCAAGATCTTATTTTCCTGAAGATAGGAGGCTTTTTACTTGAAGTGCAGCGCTACATAATGTAAACGCACTGGAGGCTTCAAGTGACACAAGCCAACCAAACAATACAGTAAAATCTCTTGACAACAAATCTCGCAATGAAGAACACAAATATCCAATAATTGATTACAACGAAGTCACTCTTTAGGTCCCTGCCCAATAGCCAAAACGTTAGGATTCCTTCACGAAGCTATTTCACTGGTCCCAATAACTTCGACATAACGATATTTTACTGTACTCGAATATTGATGACCACACGTGAAATTCTCATCAAATGACTCGCTTCACGAAGACACATTTTGAAGGGGTATTTTGTAAAAACATTCCAAAAAAAAAAAAAACTTCTTCACGCCTTCTCACACGAGCTTTGCGTTCTTCCTTCATATCTGTTGAAAGCCTGAGACCATCTTAAAAAAAAAATAATAATAATACGGTACTCACCGAGTCTTGACATTCGCCAAAGTGATCCTTCTGACCCCGGCGTCATCCTGACTCCATTTAATGAACTTGAAATCGTGCATCGCACGTGAAGCAAAGAAATTCACTCCCCCGAATTAGAATTTAACTTTCGACACTAGGTTCGTGTGCGCTGGAATCGCATAGATTTCCTGCCTTCTTCGCAAGTCCCACATCTTGATGCTGTTGTCCTGACTTCCGGTCGCAATGTGATACCTAGAAAAAAAAATGGAACAATTCGAAAGAGCGAAATTCAACTTCATGCATGCGAGAAACGTTGATTTACGAAGCGAGACAATTTTTCAAAACACTTCCGCTTTATTAGGAAACTAGGATAAACGAGGATCCAATTTACTCGAGTACCACGCGCACCTTTTAAAAAACAATTCGGCCCAAAAATGAGGTGCTCGTCATAGCTGGGTAAAAAATTGCGTTTGACATTTCTCAAAAATTTGGAACTTTTCTATTTACTTTGAAAAACTTCTCAGGAGTCTATTTTAATTATACTAAGACAGTATTTGTATGAAACAAAAAGATTGTAGCTGGATCCGATTTTCAAGTGGGCTTCAAACCTTCAATTTAGATTTCAGCCCAACAGAGTTTTTAAACAGGAATTTCGTAAACTGAAAACTAAGGTGCGCGTCTCATGCTGGGATACGAATTTTTCCAAAATTTTGGCTAAAATCAAAGGTCGGTTCCTCGATCGAAGTTACTTGAGTAAATACCGTAATTAGCATTTTAGCACTTGAGCCAATGGAGGAATTTCTGCAGCTTGGGGAAAATCGTGAATTTAAAGCGAAAAGCGGAAGATTCCGAAGAAACAATTTCAGAACAAGCTCAGAAAAAAAAACTTTCCCTTTCACGAAAAAAATCTCACCCATTGGGGTTCATATCAACCCCCAAAACTGCTTTTATATGACCACTCAGCAGCATGACGCACTGACCAGTGCGAAGATCCCAAGCACGAGCAAATGAATCCAATCCTCTGCAAACAGAAAGGTTCCCACGAAACGACGATTGAAAATAATTATCGATCAATAATAGCATTTGATTTCTTACGCAGTAACGGCGATCGCGCCATCGCACTGGAAACAAATGTCATATACTGCATCTGAATGGCCTTCTTGATGCAAGATTTCAGTCATGGTTTCCAGATCCCACAATCGCCAAGAATTGTCAGCAACGCAAGTGGCTAAAAATCTTCCCGACGGGTGGAAAGCGACACGGGAAACTCGCTTCGGATGTCCTTCAACCTCCGCCAAAGGCTCATCGCTGAAATATGGTTCATTCACATCAATGGATGCATCGAATACTAAATAAACCTCGAAACTTCGTTTCTTTCTTCTCAAAATCCTGCATCAATTCCTTGAAATATCGTATAGATTTCGCCTTAATCTGTGACACAAACCAAATACAGGTGGACCCTCTCTGCAACAAACTTGTCAACAACGACTTTATTTGTGTAGTAAAAATGTTTTTCGGCCCCAAATGGTTCTCTACAAAAAAATTCTCTCGAAACAATTTTTTCTGGTCTCCTGAATTTCATTATAGGGAGAATCCACCTGTAATACTGAATTCAATTCTAGCTGTAGCAACCTACCTAATCTGACCAAAGCTAAATCGACCCAGTAAAAAACGGCCTGACACATAATGGAAAATCCTGATTCAAGCGAGACCTGATAAAATAGGTAAGAAAATAGCGAAGTAAGACGCCGGAATGAGAGGAATCAGAGCGGTTCAGAGACGGAGATTGGCCAGAGCTTCGTATCAAAATTGGTTCTCTTCATCAATTGAGAAATCCTTTATGAAAATCGAACCGTGCTTAATAATTAAGTGAACAATTTGAATCATGAATAGGCTGAACTACAAGGTACAGTCAACCATCATCAAGTTGAACTCTGGAAGGACCACCCAAAACACTCAAGTTTGCAAGTTGGGAAAGCATGCATTTGTGACGCGGGAGAAGCAAAGAAGAATAACGGGAAATTCCAATTGTTGATATTCTAGGCTTTAAATAGCTTCTTCAATAAGCTGACAGGATGCTAAACTTAGAGACAAAAATTAATTTGCCCAATCAGTCTTTCACTTCCTTACAAAACACATCAAGGTGCATTTTAAATGCTTTTCTCTTCCCTGTGTAAATAAGATGATTGCCAAATAGCCTTCAGAAAATTCGGGTTCACGGAGGTTTGGGGAGGGAAGTCTTCGAATTAGAGAAACTTTACGGCATAATTTATAAGGGAATTCAGACAAGGACTTGAAAAAAAACCGACACAGGGAGGTATTTGACTCGTGGAGGTTCGAATTATCAAGGTTCAACTGCGATTCCAAACAGTTTCAAAAAGATCAAAAGGAAGAACAGTCTCAATTTGTTTTCGAACACCAACAAAAGAAAATCGAATACAGTGTATAGATACCGACCTGTCCAGAGACCACAGCTTGACAGAGCCATCAGTCGCACTAGAAGCCAAATTGATAGAACTGGCGTCTTGTCCGATGGTGGATTTGGGATGAAATACAATGCAACAGGCGTTGCATTCGTGACCGCGTAATGTTGAAATTGGTTCACAACTCGGCATGCTCCACAGCTTACACAAACCACGCCTTTCAAAAAAATTAATTCAAATATTACAGAAAATTGCATATGAAAGTTGATCAAATTTCTGCCTTCAAAATTCAAAAAAAAAAAAAAAACTGAAACATCCATTGAACCGAACAGTACCCAAAACATGAAGAGTTAACCCAACTCATTTATCATGAATACAAAAAAATCAAATGTATCCTCTCCAAAAACCTGCTGCTGTACGCANGAATTTAACTTTCGACACTAGGTTCGTGTGCGCTGGAATCGCATAGATTTCCTGCCTTCTTCGCAAGTCCCACATCTTGATGCTGTTGTCCTGACTTCCGGTCGCAATGTGATACCTAGAAAAAAAATGGAACAATTCGAAAGAGCGAAATTTCAGTGAAATTCAACTTCATGCATGCGAGAAACGTTGATTTACGAAGCCAGACAGTTTTTCAAAACACTTCCGCTTTACTAGGAAACTAAGATAAACAAGGATCCAATTTACTCGAGTACCACGCGCACCTTTTAAAAAACAACTGGGCCAAAAAAATGAGGTGCTCGTCATAATTGGGTAAAAAATTGCGTTTGACATTTCTCAAAAATTTGGAACTTTTCTGTTTACTTTAAAAAACTTCAAGAGTCTATTTTGATTCTACTAAGACAGTATTTGTATGAAACAAAAAGATTGTAGCTGGATACGATTTTCAAGTGGGCTTCAATTTGGATTTTAGCCCAACAGAGTATTTCAGACAGGAATTTCGGTAACTGAAAACTAAGGTGCGCGTCTCATGCTGGGATACGATTTTTTCCAAAATTTTAGCTAAAAATCGAAGGTCGGTCCCTTAATCGAAGCTACCTGAGCAAATGCCGTAATTAGCAATTGAATACTTGAGCCGATGGAGGAATTCATACAGCTTGAGGAAAATCGTGAATTTAAAGCAAAAAGCGGAAGATTCCAAAGAAAAAATCTCAGAAGAAGTTCAGAAAAGAAAAACTTTCACTTTCACGAAAAAAATCTCACCCATTAGGATTCATATCAACCCCCAAAACTGCTTTTATATGACCACTCAGCAGCATGACGCACTGACCAGTGCGAAGATCCCAAGCACGAGCAAATGAATCCAATCCTCTGCAAACAGAAAGTTTTCACACGAAACGACGATTGAAATAATTATCGATCGATCATATCAATAAAATAGCATTTGATTTCTTACGCAGTAACGGCGATCGCGCCGTCGCACTGGAAACAAATGTCATATACTGCATCTGAATGGCCTTCTTGATGCAAGATTTCAGTCATGGTTTCCAGATCCCACAATCGCCAAGAATTGTCAGCAACGCAAGTGGCTAAAAATCTTCCCGACGGGTGGAAAGCGACACGGGAAACTCGCTTCGGATGTCCTTCAACCTCCGCCAAAGGCTCATCGCTGAAATATGGTTCATTCACATCAATGGATGCATCGAATTCTAGATAAACCTCGAAACTTCGTTTCTTTCTTCTCAAAATCCTGCATCAACTCCTTAAAATATCGTATAGATTTCGCCTTAATCTGTGACACAAACCAAATACAGGTGGACCCTCTCTGCAACAAACTTGTCAAGAACGACTTTATTTGTGTAGTAAAAATGTTTTTCGGCCCCAAATCTACAAAAAAATTCTCTCGAAACAATTTTTTCTGGTCTCTTGAATTTCATTATAGGGAGAGTCCACCTGTAATACTGAATTCAATTCTAGCTGTAGCAACGTACCTAATCTGACCAAAGCTAAATCGACCCAGTAAAAAACGGCCTGACACATAATGGAAAATCCTGATTCAAGCGAGACCTGATAAAATAGGTAAGAAAATAGCGAAGTAAGACGCCAGAATAAGAGGAATCAGAGCGGTTCAAAGACGGAGATTGGCCAGAGCTTCGTATCAAAATTGGTTCTCTTCATCAATTGAGAAATCCTTTATGAAAATCGAAGCGTGCTTAATAATTAAGTGAACAATTTGAATCATGAATAGGCTGAACTACAAGGTACAGTCAACCATCATCAAGTTGAACTCTCGAAGGACCACCCAAAACACTCAAGTTTGCAAGTTTCAAGTTGGGAAAGCATGCATTTGTGATACGGGAGAAGCAAAGAAGAATAACGGGAAATTCCAATTGTTGATATTCTAGGCTTTAAATAGCTTCTTCAATAAACTGACAGGATGCTAAACTTAGAGACAAAAATTAATTTGCCCAATCAGTCTTTCACTTCCTTACAAAACACATCAAGGTGCATTTTAAATGCTTTTCTCTTCCCTGTGTAAATAAAATGATTGCCGAATAGCCTCCAGGATATTTGGGTTCACGGAGGTTTGGGGAGGGAAGTCTTCGAATTAGAGAAACTTTACGGCATAATTTATAAGGGAATTCAGACAAGGACTTGAAAAAAAACCGACACAGGGAGGTATTTGACTCGTGGAGGTTCGAATTATCAAGGTTCAACTGCGATTCCAAACAGTTTCAAAAAGATCAAAAGGAAGAACAGTCTCAATTTGTTTTCGAACACCAACAAAAGAAAATCGAATACAGTGTATAGATACCGACCTGTCCAGAGACCACAGCTTGACAGAGCCATCAGTCGCACTAGAAGCCAAATTGATAGAACTGGCGTCTTGTCCGATGGTGGATTTGGGATGAAATACAATGCAACAGGCGTTGCATTCGTGACCGCGTAATGTTGAAATTGGTTCACAACTCGGCATGCTCCACAGCTTACACAAACCACGCCTTTCAAAAAAATTAATTCAAAGATTACAGAAAATTGCATATGAAAGTTGATCAAATTTCTGCCTTCAAAATTAAAAAAAAAAAAAAACTGAAACATCCATTGAACCGAACAGTACCCAAAACATAAAGAAGAGTTAACCCAACTCATTTATCATGAATACAAAAAAATCAAATGTATCCTCTCCAAAAACCTGCTGCTGTACGCAGACCATTAAGATAAACCAAAATTTCAAAAAACTTATAATCGTCCACAAATGAATTTTAGAAACAACTGCGAGTAATTTAAAGACGTACCACGATGAAGTGGCGAGCATGCTGGAATCTGGACTAATAGAGCAAAACGAAACGGGTCTCGTATCTCCGATTTGAGACGCTTGAATGGCATAATTCCTCAGCTTCTTCTGAATCTCTTGCTTCCTCGATTGCTTCACTGTCTCGGGTAATCCTTGATACTCTTTCGCAGCTGCCAATCGGTCGCGAGCCCTGGGCAATGAATAATCTGCAGAAGAAGGAAAAAAAAAAGATTTAACAAATGAGCATTCAGTTTTCACAGCTCTGATGATGACTTGTGCGAAATATCCTGAGCAGTGCTAATTCACTCGTATTACTTGGGGCACATGGCAGTTAGTAAATGGAACATTTCATATAAAAATTACACTTGTTAAAACATCACACGATGCCCTTCATTCTTAGCCACATCGTAACACATTGAAAGAGATTAGATGAAAAAATTTACTGAAGAAAATACGGCATTCCGGGGGTTCATCGAGAAGTCATACGAAATTAAAATACAGCATCTTCAACTCAAGTTTAAAACAAGTCAAGTTGAACCTCCATAACTCGAAGACCAGCTCATGTCGATTTACTTTTTACTCTTAGGAGTCCTTTAAGTCTTAGGAGTCCCTTCGAAACAATTCGTTATTAAAAACCTTTCTAACTCACACGCTTTGCCATCAAACCTCATTAATTAGACTTTTCCGGAGGCATTTTGGCTCATATTTCATTGACGAACGAAATAGAAAAACAATTGATACGTAACTTGCTGCATTTTGAAGGGACGTGACCAAATATTCGGACAAACAAATCCTTGCCTCCAAGTTCAGCCTCCAGTCAACTCATTAAGAAGCATTTTAAGGCCCAGTATATCACCAAATACAATTTCCTGTGAATCTTTCTTTGTTTCCCTGAACAAAAATGCATGTTTCTCTCACTCCAATTTTTTTCTGGCACCTTCAAGTTCGACTTAACATTAAATTGACTGTAGTTGGAAGCGCTCAGACCATATACAGTTAGTATGTGAAAATTCGCCCACACACGATCGATACAAAGGGTGATTCACTCAAAACTCACGAGCAAGAAAAACTCTGGCATCTTTCAAAGCGACTGGCCCCTCGTGATACCAAGTAACTTTATGATCCAAAGCATCTTCCCGCTGACGTTCAGCAGCCGAGTCCAAAGGTGCAAGCATGCCCTTGAGTTTCTTCAGGGCCTCCAAACCACCAGAACGAGATAAATAGTCCCTGAGGCGATTCCTCCGATCAGCTGGACCTTCTCCGAATAAAGTCATGGGTTCTCCCACGGCTCGCAGTTGCAATCGAACTTCTGAATCCACCGTCGACACGTGGATTTGACGCGCGAGTTTCCGGCGCTCAAATTCTTCCAAAAGCGATTTCCGCTCATCGTTCTCAGCGCTCTCCAATTGCATGTATTCTGAAATTTGACAAAATGTAGCTCTTTGAAAGAACCCATAAATTGATCAAGGACTAAAAACAGAGGATTCAAAATAAAATTAAAATGGCTTTAAGAGAGTGATCCTCTGCACAGGTGTTCCCCAACCTTTTTGAGCCTGCGGACCAGCTAATTCAAATTTTTTGCAGACTGGCAAAGCTCCACACAACTTTTGCAGACCAGCAGACATTTTTTAAATACTGTACCTGCCATAAATTCTTCCAACCAAAACTTTTATGAAACTAGAAGCCAAAAGCTTATCCTCACTTCGTTATGTTCAAGAAAATCTGGCTGACAGTCAGATGAAAGCAACAAGATGTAAATAATAACTCACCATCCTTGGTAAAAGGGGTGGCCATTTCATCGCCGTCCACGTTCACTGTCGAAGGTACATTTTCATCGTCTTCATCGCTATCCCCAGCTTCGGCCTTTTTGACAGCTTTTGCCAAAATTCGCAAGCGTTCCGCTTCTTCGATAGACCCATAGTGAACACCGGGTTTTGCCTTACGCTGTTTCAAACGCGCGAGCGTGTCTGCTTCTTCGTGATCCATTTCCTCGTCACCAGCCATTTTCAAACGAAATAAAAGTATTTCCCTGCCACAAAATTCATAAAAGTATCATAAAAAGAATACATGCTGAGTAAGAGGAAATCAATCGTGCGACAACATGGAAAATGTTTTATCCGAGTTGCATCTCTTCACCACAATCATCATCAGCGTCTTCTTCATCACTGTCGTCAGATTCTTCATCGTCGTCGGAATCACTCGACTCTTCAGAATCGACTTGCATCGTGTCTTCCACCACCTCAGGAGGTATCAGGCACTTCCATTCATCCAATTTCTTCAGGTCAAGACTGTAAAAATCTGCATATGTGACTTCTCCACCACTCGGCTTTTCGTGCAGGCCACCGAAACAATACAGAACACTGTTTTTGATCGTCATCCCAGAGCTCATCCTTGGAGACGGTTGGCACATCGGGATTGCAGCTGCAGCACCCTGTGGTCCATCGGAACGGGGTTTCATGGGATCCGACTTCAAGCTTGGACCAACTGTGATCGTGAAAATGCCATCTTCAACAGTCTTTGTCTCCTGAAAAACATGCACAAAAAGGCCGAAATTTAATCTCAAAAAGTTTGTAAAAACCAGCTAACTTCGTTCTGATCTCAAAGGAACGGTAATCTAGAAAACCCCTGACAAATGGAATAAGCTAAGTCGCCCTTTTGTGCGTGATCTACAGTAAAATAAAATTATTAGCACATAATTGACTCGATTATTTCATTGGCTTTCTTGTTCAGAATTTCAGAAAAAAATGTGATCTTCTCATTCGATACGTTATTTAACATACAGTATTTTTGGATACAGTCAAACCCCGATAAGCCGACAAAATTCGTTTGTGTGGTTTGTGGCGGTTGGTGGTTGTCAAAAAGCAAAATGATTGCAAAAATCTAGTACAACGGGAAATAAAAATAGTAATCTCTCAGGAAACAGTAGAATAACCCGGGGATTCATGAATTATATCTAGCTAATGCTTCCAAGAAGCAAATAACGTCACTTTCGTCCCTTTTTCTATTGGAGACCTCACATAGAAGTATAGAACCTTCGGCGGGTTATAGACAAAATTAATCGCCAGGAGCATATCTGAGTCGTTGATAATTTTGACGGATGGCGTATCAACAGGGTATCAAACGGGAACATCTGCTTCTCAAAATAAAATGGCAGTTGCGGAGAGTGGCGGCTTCTCGGGGTTCGACTTGTCATTTACAAACGCGTTGATGAGTGAAGGAGTTGAGAGAAAGAGATCATCATCCCATAAATATGTTCTCCAGATTGAGAAAATCTTTCGTAGTTAAATTGCGAAGTACAGTAGAAAAAAAAACTGGAAATAATCTCACTTCTTCGACTGGCGCAGGGTCACCGCCACCACCATTAGCTGTACCATCCTCAACCCCATCCTCATCATCATCTTCTTCTTCTTCACTCGTCGTTTCATCTTCTGCTTCACCTTCGGCTGCTTTAACTTTTCGACGACGCTTGTGTTCCTTCAATGCCCTCGGGCCACTTAACTCCACTAGGGACCAAGAAGGCTTCGTCAAGTCAACAAGGTACAAGTCGTTGAAGAACGTCGACGTGGAAACTTCTTCCTCTTCGTCAGATGAATCACTGAGAACCTCTTGTTCCTCATCGTCATGAACTCCTCCAAAAACGAGAGCCGAATTTTTGCCGGACTCGGTCCAAGCCACGAGGGTAGAACTGCAACGTTTCGAAGGCACAGATCCAGTAGTTTTGGCCTGAAAGGAACGTATATTTCTTCAGAACAGGTTTAAAGATCAACTATTATGATGACAAAAACATACAAACGAAGAGTATCCACTGAAGGCGATGGAATCATTTGCGTTTCTTTTAAAATTAACGCATTTTTAAACCAGAAATTCATGATTGGAATGAAACATGCCTTTTACAGAAGAGGAATGTAAAGCAAATAATGTCGAAAACATGGAAGGTTAATTTTATAAGAGAAAAAACCAAAACATAACTTCGAGTTTGTCATTTATTTCATTTATCCCGGTTCATTTTGCACCGAGTATATTCCTTTTGGAAGCAAAAAAATCAGCCAAAAAATGTATGGCAAAAGAAAAATACTTGAGATGCTGATTTCATACGAGAAAAATTAGAACACATTGTAATTCCGAGATTTCATCTTAATAGTTAATTTTTCCTGTTTTTCTTGACTGGTCGTATAGCAAATGCAGTACTGTAATACACACTTGAATCCACTTGAATTTGGTCCCCGTCGTATCGCGTTTGTCCGGGGTTAGAAAGAACGAGTCCGCATGAACAACTCCAGTTTCATCGTCGAATCCCTTTTTCTTCGACGGAGCCTTGACTTTGGAAAAGCCGCCATGAATGTAAATCCTACCGTCGTTGAGAGCAGCCATCAAGTGTCCAGAACGAGGCGCAGGAGGAGTGCCAGTTATTTCGAGTTTACGCCAAAGTCTCTCACTCAGATCGAAAATGTAGAAGTCGTTGTAGTATCTGTTGAAATTCAATTGCTTTGTTCATCGTAATAGTTTTGAAAGTTTTAGCTTCAATACAAACCGACAATCTNGTATAGCAAATGCAGTACTGTAATACACACTTGAATCCACTTGAATTTGGTCCCCGTCGTATCGCGTTTGTCCGGGGTTAGAAAGAACGAGTCCGCATGAACAACTCCAGTTTCATCGTCGAATCCCTTTTTCTTCGACGGAGCCTTGACTTTGGAAAAGCCGCCATGAATGTAAATCCTACCGTCGTTGAGAGCAGCCATCAAGTGTCCAGAACGAGGCGCAGGAGGAGTGCCAGTTATTTCGAGTTTACGCCAAAGTCTCTCACTCAGATCGAAAATGTAGAAGTCGTTGTAGTATCTGTTGAAATTCAATTGCTTTGTTCATCGTAATAGTTTTGAAAGTTTTAGCTTCAATACAAACCGACAATCTCCACGAAGCGAGTCGTGAAAACCTCCGAAAATCGCAACTCGTGGGGGTAGGTTCGGTGTGTAAAGTACCACCATTCTGTGGCCACTTCGCCCACTAGGTCCTCCTTTGACTTCAATTTTTTCCCATCGTCGATCTTTGAAATGGAAAACCCACAAATCTCTGCGTGACAAATTCAGTTGATTAATCCTGGCATTCAATCAAATTCGCTTGTGTAACACGCTGTGATGAGAAAGAACCAACCAACCTGTAATGGTAAAATTGGCTTTCGGATGGAGTGACGAATTCGCCACCAAACATCCACATTTGTCCTCCATCTCCGGCGATTGTAACAGCCTGATGAGCTGCTCGCGGGGGAGGTCCTCCAGAACATTCCCATTGCGTCCACTTCTGCTTTTTAATGTCAAAGCAAAGAAAATCGGAATACACTGTGGTAGACTTGTTCACAGTACATTCTCCGCCGAACATGAGCAATTGATCCTTATTTGGGTGCGCCACGAGAGAGAAGTTGCTTCGTTTTGATGGCCTGTCTGTCAAGGGGATTTCTGTAATTGTCTTGCATGATTTCTTAGCATCTTCTGCACTGAATCGGGCAACAAGAGTTTCGATATCTTCTTCTCCTTGCAATGCCAATTCTTTCCGCATCTTTGCAGACAGCTTCTTCTCTGTTTTTTGAGCAGTTTTCTCCGCGCCTAACCCCTTTTTCTTCTTCTCCGCTTTTTTCTTTCCGCCCATGATGAGGGCCTCTAGTTAAAAAGAGTCTCAGCCTACGGAAAATACAAACACGGGTTGAATACCTCCAAAAACACCGCACGTTTAGCGCAAGAACCGGAAAAAGAATACTGAAAGGCTCATACAAAAAATCAAACGTACATCTGGCCAGCGAAAATACAGCAGTGCTTTCTGAGCTGCTTTTACTGAATGTATTAATCAGTAAAAAATCAATATAAAATATCCCTCGAGTTCCAATCTGTTACAATTATACTGTAACAGATTAAAACTTAGGGCTATTTTATCCAGCTGAATCATTGACTTTCTTTTCTTTCGCGCACACTCCGATTCAGCCCCCAGATCCGTCGTAAAGCTTACAGCCACACACGGCAGATGCCCGGAAAAGTTCTTCCCGCAGGAAGTTTGAACGCGCTTTCGACACTTGAAAGCGTTGAACTCTGCAGTGTAAGGGCACCCGAATGATCGAACTTCGATGTTCAGAAATGACCTGTTGCCTGACAACGGCCTGGCTGTGCGTCTTACAGCGGAGCCGGGCGGCAGAAGGGCCCAGTTTCGATTCGTAGC